GGGGGGGGGTCCGCGAATGCGAATCCGACCCCCCCCCCCCTCGGTTGGCGTGGGGTTCGGGGAAAATTTTGGTATTTTATTATTTTAGAGGGCGAACGATGCCATTTGGTACGGGTTAGTACTATAAATCAGCAAGTCAAAATTCTAATTCCAACAGGGGAATATTAGTGTGATTTTTTTCAAAAACCGAAGGAGGTGTCAGGACCCCCCCTGACCCCCTCTAAATCCGCCACTGTAAGCGGAGGTGCCTTTACCTACTGCACGGGCTTTAATGTTAAAAGAGGATGCACAACATAAGCAGTCCATTCCTATTTAGTTGGAAAAAGACATTGCATGCCATCAGATTTAAGTAAATAAAATCCACAACCGTCATTCGTTCGGAAAATTCCACTTTTTTACGTTAAGTCTTCGTAGTTTTGTAATGGACACGTGTATGTTGGTGCTGGGCCCAGAATGTTTACTTTAGATGCACAAGAACACTTATGTTGAATACCTTGGATGTTATTTTGAGGTTAAAATGTATCTTCCTTTGCAAAATAGGAAACCTGATATCTACTAGTAACTAAGGAGCTATTTGTCGACCCCCCCCATCCTTTCTCTCTCTCACACACACGTTTTCATTCTAATGTCTTCTGCGGTTCGCTTACAGCATTGGATTCATTTATCTTTTATCTCATCATGTACATCTGAATTATACCAATATAGCAACGAGAAGAAAGAACCATTAATGCAAGATGTGTTCCAAAAATCTCTAATGACATCTCTAATGATACATCATCGCGAATCAAGAATGAATCAGTTGTCTGATCTGTCGTCTATAGGGATGCTTTCATGCTCTCTACTTCATGGTCAGATCATTGACACTAAAACTGAGAGCTTGTAATATATATTCGTGTGTGTGTGTGGGTGTGTGTGTGTGAGTGTCAATATAAGATTTTCCATTAACCATGAGTCATCTTTGATAAGACTGAATGATTATGTTTATATGTTACCAGCACAACATAAAAACCCACTGACGTCTGTGTGATAATGATAATGTTAAGAAAACAGGTCTTCCACACCGGCATAACGCATAGCTAGGGAACAATGACAACATAAAACCCGATAGTATCAGGACAAATTGTAACACTACCCAATGTCAATGTATCATCTCTATGCACCACACACACAACTTCTCTACTAATTTTCGTTGTCGCGATGATCACTCTAGAAATTTGCCCTCTCTGTCTAGGATCCGATCTAATGCTGGATCCTAGTGATGACGTAGTTGTTGTACAAGGATGAAAATCATATCCTCAGCTGTCACTACCGCGTGAGGAGGCAAGACGAAATACCTGGACCGTATGGTTTCACCCCTCACCGGTAAAAAGCTGACCCAATCTCACGCGGGTCTTCGTATGATGTCAAATTTTCTGTGTATATCAAGTGAAAAAAAATTTCTTTGGATCCTATTACTAAATTTAGTAGACGGTAAAAGATAGTGCTCATGCTGAAATAGGCAGTCTTACGATAACAGTCAGGATAAAAATACGTGTCACAACTGAGATTCTAGTTCTTCTGTTTCAGTAACATGAATAATGCCCATTGCCACTTAATATTGAAATCCACGGCACTGCTTGTTGTCTCACTTTATAGCCCGGCACAAGCATGAGACAACCTGAAACCGGCCGAATTCACTACAGTGTACCAGTCAGGTAACTGGTAATGGTGCATAAGGGATGATACCTCGCAAGTTTCGCTGTTTTCTGGCTATTTTATTACCTCCCAGAATGAGGTTGTGTTTTTGTTTTTTTTCTGTGTACAGCATAACGCAAAAGCCATCGGCAGATTATGATGACATTTTCAAGATAAGTCACGTAGGGGCCAAGGAAGAAATAATTAGATTGGTAATGACACATTAATTAATTAACTACTGTATGTACAGATTTTGATGAAATTTTCAGGATAGA